CGAAGCATTTAAAATGTAGTACTAGAGTAATAACATACAATGTTGATACCCTCAAGATATAATATAGTAAACGACATAAACATCCTGTAATATGTACTGAGAAAGATGCAATAAAAATACTCCATAAAAGCTGTAAAAGGAGGATTAAATCTCTATGTGTTCCTTGATTGATAAACTGATAGATACAAGATGACAGTAACAGACGCAGAGGATCTGAGAGAAATGAAGACAGAAAGCAAGAAAGACACACACACAGTCCGCAGTGTGTGCAGGTCATGGAGGTCATACAGAGGCGATGTCGGCAGGAAATGAGCTCACATTGTACCGTTGCTCCTTCACTTGACCCCGAGACCCCACAGCTCCTCACCGACGTTCCAGGTGAGGCAGAATTAAACCAAAGGGACCAGAGGAATAAAATGTCAGAGATCTGTTTAATACAGCAGCTGGGAAAACAGCAGCTTAAAAAAAAAAATGTCTCATTTGTGATGCTGAGCTTATCAAATGCTAAGCTAGAAGTCGCACGCTGCACTGCCCTTTGAAAAGCTAATCCCATCCCGGATGTCCCCAATACGCCCTTTAGCTTTAAGTGTAAAGAAGTTTAAGTGAAGCCAACCAGCGTTTTTCTTTTTTTTGTATTTGGGAATTATTCCTGCTGTTTCTTTTCACTGTAATAACTCCAAGAATAACGTAAAGACCTCGATTCAATCCCATTCAGGTAGGTTCATCAAAATATCTTGATTTGCAAAGTTTAGGGAACAAAAATCAAAACTAGCAGACTTTCTGTGGCTGAGTGAGCTCCGTGCACTGATGACCCAAATCCATTTGATTTCTGCTTCCACTTCTTCTTCATATGAAGACATGCAGGGCTGTTTGAGGTTTTGCATTTTACACACTAATTGGCAGCTCAGCAGAGACATGGGAGAGAGAGTGAGAGAGAGAGAGGGGGGAAGAGTAGTAAAGAGGAAAGTAGAGAGAGAGAGAGAGAGAGAGAGAGAGAGAGAGAGAGAGAGAGAGAGAGAGAGAGAGAGAGAGAGCGAGCAAGACTGTAAAGTTGATTTAAAAGAAAGACAGCGAGGGACAGGGATGCACGGATCGGAGGAGATAAAAAGAGAGATGAAAGATGCAGAGGGACAGAGAGAGGGAGGAGAGGCAGTTCAAAAAGCAGCCAAAAGATAGTGAGAGATAAAAGTAGAGAGAGGGGAACAGAAGGAAAAGAAAAGGGATGAACACAGATATAACAGAGGAGGTAGAGAGTGGGACAGATCGAACCACTTTGGCTCAGAGGGAAAACTAACACACCCCACAAAGCTGAAACAAACACAATATGCAAGCCTCACACACCATCTCCAAATATCATTTTAAAATGAGCCAAGTTAAAAAATCCATCAACCCTCTGCTCAAAAATGCTACAAAGCTTCATTTCCCGCTCTAATTACAGCAGAAATACACAGCTCCCTTATGTTTTCATGAGTCTGTGTGTGCGGTTGGTCCCAGACTAATGACTGAACTCATGAGCTGCTCATGAGTTCAGATGCCCCCCCCCCCAATATTACATATACTACGTATAAATATAGACACAGGTTTACTTTTGGGGACCAAACCACTGACTCAAAAATATATATTTCTTCTAATTGGGGCACAGCTTTTGTGCCCAGTTGTACAAGCCATCGCTAATTAACAGCAGCCTGTTGCACCACCTGTGTGTAAGTTCAAAACTATCCTTATCATATCGTACATTATTAGTTTATTATAAGTTAACACACATTCACACATTCATGCATTCCTAAAATAAAAGTGTTTGCACCACGGACAGAAGTTACAGCTACAGTAACAACTTCAGTGTAAATCATAAACTGTCACAGAATTAAACTCTCTGATGGTCACACAGCATCAGTAACACAGTAACCCAGCAGAGAACTAATTCACAGATAGGACATTTCAGTATTGATCTAGCTAATGTGCAATACTCTGGTTAGGTCATTAATACAGCAATTATACAGTAAACTGTTCTTTAGCACACTGATTCAGAGATCCAGTTCCAAGCATCATTAGTATTTATCCATTACACTTCTGTTGTATACTGTACTATACATATTCGATTTTCTATATATTGTAATATAATGCACATATTTAAGCGTTCTTATTATTATTTCTGTCTGTATAATGTTTTGTTAGGTGTTTTTAGCATCGACTTTACACCCTAACTTAGGAGAGAGCTTACTCGTAACTGGTGCAATCCAGTGTTGGTCTTCAGTCTGAAAAGTGTCCCGAAGGAAGCGCACCAGGAAACACTTTCACAACAAACCTGCTGAGTCCTTCCTCAGAAGGGAAGGCTCGGTGCAGTCAGATTGGCTAACCAGAAGAGGAGGACGTGTTAGATAATTTACAGAAGTACTAATACTCCACTGTGAAACATACTCAGAAACATACAGGAGTACGGAAACATTTCCCCCACTGCTGAAAGGAATCCCGAGGAAACACTGAAGCCAATTCGTTTTTCATTTTCTCTTTTGTATATTTACTATTGTAAGTATAAGTATAGTATGATAAGTATTTCTTATCTGATGACTCAATTAATCAATGAATACTAAAACAAATAAACACTACAATAATCAATATCTGCAGCCCTATCCACAAGCCAAACCCAGTTCTAACCTGAACCCTCAAACCAAGTCTGAACAGCTCTGTGATGAAGTGAGAACCGACCTCGATTTCCAAAAGTGTCCTCGTTCTCAAGGCCAAAGGTCTTAAATTGGTCCTCACAAAGATAGAAGTACAAGGGCACACGCAGGGTTAGATCCCACCACTTGTGCCTGACAGTAAAGTGCCAGAGGCGTTTGAACGTGGCTGAAGGGGGACCTGGGACCTAGGACAGGGCAGCAAGGGAACACTGATTACTGCAGTGTTGTCTTCATGTTCAGTGTTCCTCTAAAGTAAATGTTCAAACAACACTGAAGTCATATGAGAGACTAGCTGAAGCCAAACACTTTCAGGCGAGTCAACCGGGTGGAATTTCTCCAGAGAAAAACTCATTATTTGTGGCCTGTAATGCAGATTGATGACAATTGCTCATAAAGATTATTAAAGAATAATTCAGTAAAGATGACAGTTGTGTTGCCCGGTGTGCAAAAAGTCTAAATATTAATACAGCGTTAAATAATAAAAAATAGTTTCCAGTAGTGCCTCATGATATCTTGTAGTCGCTTTGTCAGGAAGTTGTGTCATTAAATATGTCCGCGAGTCCTTCAGCCAAGTTTTTTCTCAAGTTGCACACAAGCAAAGCAAAGTACACAATCTGAATGTACTGAAGGGTGTACGTCTGCGTGTTCTTCTCCACAGGGGTTCTCAATTAATCATGTGACTATGTATTCATGTCCACTATTTGGCCAATTATTGTTTCATTTGGAGAAGCCTCTGTTGTTTAAATTACCCATGATTCTTATGCAAGATGGAAAAAAAGACGAATACAGACTGTGAATAAATAATGATTCGCTGTGATTAATGATCTTTGTCAGAAAACAGAGGAAAACAAGAGGAAACTATGTGGAATTTACTGGGATGAATCATTGTGTCTTGCTGCACTTTGAGCCGTACTTTGTGATATTCGGTTATAATAAACGCTGACCTGACTCGGCCGTAGAGAGAGAAACAGTGAAGCGCAGTGGAGTGCGTATGCTGACAGGCCTCCCACTCTGTCGGCTGCGGTGTTACTGCTGTTTGCTTTCTCTCTGCAGGTGACTGACAGGCAGAGCTGGCTGGTTCGGTGTTAACCGGCCGTTGACCTGAGTGTAGTCTGTCAGTCACTTAACCCTCGGCTGTCTGTAACACGTTACTGTAATCACATAACACTCGTCTGTAACACAGTAACATAACACATACTCCTAAATCCAGTAATCACACTTCAGTTACCAATCGTACTTTATGTCTTGTTACTTGCATTATAATATGTTCAACATGTTCTCCAAAGTCAGAGCAAGAATTGGTTTCCTGTATCGTAATAAAACATCTGTTACCCGCTCTAGGAAGCACAACTTGGTTAAAATGACAATTCTCCCAAACTTGGATTATAGTGACTTGAGGACAGCACAGGCTTAGTTTGAGGACACGTTACACCAAACAACTGAGATGACGGGAGCGTGCCGCCACTCTAGCAAACCTTTCATGATTTTATTCCGACATTGGACATTTGTCTGGTTGAAAGATTCCGTGTAAGGTCATCATTAATCTAGAGGTGTGCCTAAAAAATATCCTAGGTACACTGGACGTCATCTACCATATTGCTGTTTGTCACCGGTGCCCCTTTCAGCACTCATCACTGTAGCCTATATTCTCAAGTCAACTGGCCACCACTCCATGCCAGGCAACAGATCCACTGTTATCAGTTAATTTATAAAACTATCGTTGGCAAATCCCCTTCATATCTTGGCTCACGACTCAATATCTCCAACAGCAACCATAATTCATTTTCCAGCAAATTTGAAAAAGTAATGAGTAATGTGCAATGCATTACTTTTTGGGGATAATGACCCCAACACTGCTTGCCAATAGCAGGCATCAACAATCTAATGCACTGGTTCTCAAACTGCTGTACGTGTACTTCTATGCAGAGGAATCTTAGATTTCTTTAATAAAATAAATTCATTTAAAAACATATAACTACTATCAAAATGCAACAACATTTTGAATAAAAATACTTGGAATTATTGAAATGTAATTTAAAATAAGTTTCCTGTAATATTGTGTTTAAGTCACATTCATGAACATAGCGCAAGCATACATCTACGATTAGTTAGGACCTAACATGTGATGGAATCATCAATCATTGATCCAAACAGGAACTATTGGGGGTTTTAGTATGTAGCAGGAGTACCACATCTCCACCAGTCCCTTCAACTGTGCGTAGCAGAATAGGGTTGGGCGAGAGCCTAATATTTTCTGAGGTGGTGCATGGTGCAAAAAGTTCTGATCTAATAGTTACTAACACAGAACACTGTACTCACCAACCAAAGTGCTCAGATCTGTGGACGTGGCGACATCACTGGAACAATTCTGCAATAAAAGAAATGAGAGCCGTCAGATAATCAAACTTTAAAGTTCAGAAATATAAATATGAACGGTTTCATTTGGAAAAAAACAAACAAAAACAGGGTCTCTGCAGATACAGACAGTCACACACTCCCAGAGGAGTGATGATTGAGAGTCTGTACATTGTTCCTAGTATGCCTTTAACTTCTGCAAAGTGAAGTTTGTCAAGTAAAATGAGCCACAGCTGTGACAACCCACAGTCACACCCATCTCCCGTTCATTCATTCATTCATTCACTCATTCATTCATATCAGAACCAAGCTGAAATTACTTCTTCCATAACGAGCATCTATCTGTCAGCAGACAGTGAATGATGATGATTACTGACTTTATAATACCAACAAGCACACAGAGAGACTGGCAGGAGTTCGAGCCCGTTAGCCGTTCTCCACTCGATCTTTGATTTATCTGAAGCAAAGCAAACGATAGGTCCTCTTTGAAGCTGTAAACTTCACACATCTCAAGCACATCAAACATGTCAAGTGATCACACCCATATATATTTGGCCCCAAGAGGTAGGATCAGTACGCAGGAGGGTTTGGACTGTGGTAACACTGTGAGTGAGGGTGTGAATGTGTGAATACCTGTGGAATGAAACAGGCCACTGGTGCATTTATCCGCTTGGTGTGTGCATTGTCTGAGAAAGGGAGCGACACATGAAAACACCCAGATGAGTTAATAATGCTGTTCCCTCTTCAAACACACACACACACACACACACACACACACACACACACACACACATCCTAAGACTAACAGGCACACATGGGACGCTGCCTCGCCGCATGACATGCTCCTGTCTGTCTCCTCGCATTGCCTCGTCCTTTTAGTTCATGGATGGCAAAGACACGAGACAGATTGAGGAGAGAGAAGAGGGAGAGTTTCAGTTAAGTACATGAATAAACTCAACACGGTGGCATGGAAACCTCCCCACCAACCGCATTGAGCACACAAGTATAACTGATCATGGCGGTACATACAGCCAACTATAAATCAGCCTTCAGTATCATCGTGAGTGCTTTAGATTGGAAACACTTGATCACTGATGAGCAGGCTGCCATCAGGATGTGTGAGTGAATGTGAAGTGTTGTAAGGCGCTGGGAGTGGTCAGCAGTCCATTTACTGTTGACGGATGTATTACACAGAAGATCTTTGTCCAGTCTTTGCAATGGAGCCCTCTCCATCCTCAACCCAAAAAACGATATAAAAATCATAACCTGAAATTTCCACACTTCTTCTCTTTGGTCAAACTTGTACCCAACAGACAGACAATCACGACTTTGTCAGTTTTCAATTTCCAGCTTTCTTTTGTCATTCTCCACGCTACAAATACTAATAAACAGACAAATTGCTTTTCACTTCCCCAGAAAGCCCAAAGCAAAACCAAAGCCGTGATATTCACAAACTCCAGGGAGTAATTACCCGAATGGAATTGATGTCTGTCCGACATTGTGTGTGTGTGTGTGTGTGTGTGTGTGTGTGTGGGTGGGGGGTGCGGGGGTGCGTCAGCTGTATAAGCAGCCTAAGGCGGGGCACGTGTCTGATGTTAGAGAGGACACTCAGCTGTTTAACACGGGGACAACTGCAGGGATCGGGACATGACTAGACTAAAAGACGACAGCGGTGAACTAACAAAGTACACTGGAATCCGAAGACTTCTCTCTATGGCAGCTATGTGCGTGTGTGTGTGTGTGTGTGTGTGTGTGTGTGTGTGTGTGTGTGTGTATATGTGTGTGCTGAGGATGAGCTCTTGCTCAGCTCTCCGATGCCCTTTTTCAGACATTTGACTCAGTATAGTAGAGTGTGCATGTGTGTTTGGCACGCACAAACCTGTGTAGCTGTGTGTATGAGTGTGTGTGTGTGTGTGTGTGCGCCCTATGCCCTTTTCCAGATGTCTGACTTAAGTGTGTTTGTGTGTGTGTGTGTGTCTCCCCTCAGAGCTATAATGAGGTCTTGTGGGACTGCAGGCCTTCTGTCTGTCTCTCTGACCAACATCGCACACACTGTCAGTATCCTGACCCTTACTGCGCGCGCGCACACACACACACACACACACACACACACACACACACACACACACACACACACACACACACACACACACACACACACACCTGCTGGTAATGCACTTCTACAATTCAGTGTCAAAGAGCAGGGCACCATTAGAGGAGAATGGAGAGAGTCTAATTAGGTAGTGAGCTCTGAAAAGCTCAATGTTCACTTTACTGTAATATGAGAGCAAACGACGGGACACAGTGAAGGAGAGCGAGACAGAGAGAGAGACAGAGAGAGAGACAGACAGACAGAGAGAGAGAGAGCCCCACCTACCACTTTGCCTCTGAATGATGTGTGTATGTGTTCTAACATCCTCGGCTTTATGTACAGCCTCAAACGCTGGGGGAAATGGCTTCAATTTGACAAAAAAAAAAGATAAAAAGTAAAACTTTTCTGCACTGAAATGGCTCCATCCTCCGCCAGGGAGCTTGTGTTTTCAGTGCCACTTGTCTGTTGTCTGTCAGCAGGATTACAGAATAACTACTGGGCTGATTTTCATGAAAGCTGGTGGAAAGGTGCACGGACCAAGGAAGAACCTGTTCAATTATGGAGCTGATCTCAATCACAGGGCGGATACACAAATTATTCTCTTTCGTTAATACTGAGAGACAATGGACACAAAGTATCTATTGTCCAGAAAGATCCAGTGGTATACAAGTTTATGGATCTGTATGCCGAGATAGTATATATCATATTACATCATGTGTCCCCATAAGTAAAAACGGTCAGTCAAATTCCCAAAGCTGGTATCACATTCTTGGTCAGATGTAGTTTTCTTTCAGACACTATTTACCATTTGGATGAGTGACTGAAGATGGTGTGTTAGAACTGATTTCTGTTTTGGAAACTCAGGTGTCTGATGAGCTCTACTTAATCACATTTACAGTCTCTTTATTACACAACCAATTAATTCTGCTCCCAGTCTATAGTGTTGATTGCAACAGAAGGTGTTCTCCCCCAGAGAAAATCCAGTAACTCTGTTTACTACTCCAAAATGAAAAGAAAGAGATAAAAGATCTGTGAATAATTGATGATGTTGCCTGGTATTCTCCACCCCCCGAATTACAACCCAGAGTCAGACCTATAATTACAGTCTGCACCATCCATTAATGACCTAACCCTGGATTTTCCATATGTCCACACTGATCTCAGCCACTGCAAAGAGCTGTTAGAAAGGACCAGTGTGCAGGATTAGTCTTCTCAAGGTGAAACTACGGTGGCGGCCCTATCTAGTTTGTCCATTCTGGGCTACTGTAGAAACATGGCGGTCCCACATTGCGGACTCCACAGAAGAGGACCAGCTTAATGTTACAGACTGGACCTTTAAGTCTGGAAACGTTCTCAGGTCTCAATGAGACAAATTGATTGAATAAATGGACCTTTTATTATCGTTCGGGCACACACTTTCTGTTGGGTAATTTCAGAGGGAGTGAATATCTTCTGCAAACTGGCTCACTTGAACAGGAACTCTGCACATGAGAATATATTTCACAGAATATTTTACGACTTGTTTTTCTGCTGTTTTGTACAATCCTGTTGCCATTCTTGAGTGACAGTCCCAGCGGTGGAAGGAAACCTGTCTGTTTACCCCTGAAAACTTTACTGAGCTGCAGAACATCAAACCAGGGAAAATAAATAAATAAATGCATTTTGTTGGCAGAAGCAGGAGTGGATTGTCTAAGTTTAACAATGTCACAAGGTTATTGAATTTTACAGGACAATATTCTGAAATATGAAAAATAGTGCTGTCAAACGATTAAATATTTAATCGCAATTAATCGCATATTTGTATCTATTCTAAATGTCCCTTGATTTCTTTTTGTCCCATTATTTTTTCCCATTTTAATGCTCTTATCAACATGGAAAAGTGGATCGGCTTGCTTTGTGCAAATTTATTGAAAAATCATCCATTGTCGCCTGGCTTTGATGAGGGGGCGGAGAATTCCCATCAGCTGTGTGCTTGGCCATCAAGTGGTATTTCAGACTGGACGTGCTGCGATGATAGCTCAGTTCACAACGACAAAACACACAGATCACTTTGGTCTTGTCAATGGAACCATTTGGCAACTTTTTAAAAGTAAACTTTCCATTCAGAATATTATTGGCATCCATTTCGGCATCTCGCGCTCGCCATCCACTCAAAACGTAACGTCTACTACTCTTAAACAAGTGTGTGCCTGTTGTTTTGTTTCCGGTCTAGCTAGATCCGGTGTGGTGTTGTAGTTTTTCTAACGTTACTAGTTGTTGCAACAGCATGTGAAAAAAACTACAAATCTTGCGATAAAAAAATTGATGCTGTTAAAATGGGTTTGCGTTAACGCCGTTTAATAACGCGTTTAACTGACAAGTTTGAATTCAGAGGTGCTTAATAAATGGCTATAAATGAACTATTAGACCAAACAGAGCAGGTATCAAAGGATCTAAATCAATATTTCATATTCAAGGTCGGCACTAAACACAAGAATACCTGCAAAGCAAAAAGTCGAGCATTTTTACTGCCTCTTGGTCCTTCACAGCAAACAATAACAACTATATTTACATGGCACTTTCAATGTTAATGAAGCAGAAAAAGGACCAATCTCAGTAATCAACTTAAATAAAAGGAAGATTTGTGCCTGCTGACACCAATAACACCCACAAGAGCTGACTCAGAAAACATATCGGGCTCCCAGCAAACAAATGAACGATGGCGCTGCTGCGTAATGAGAGAAATAATAAGGTGTCAGTTAAATACGTGCCTGCACTAAATGAGTTTTCAGCTGTGTCTGATAAGATTAATAGACATGAGTAGTTTGCTGATCATTTACAAGGGCAGGCTGATGAAGCCTCGCGGCAGACTTAACAGATTTCTTTGTTATTAAATACGTATCAAAGTAAGGCCTTGAAATATTAAAGCACGTTGTTAAAGA